TATTTGTAGTACTGCGATATGTATAGATGCCCACATACCACAACGTTTTATATTACCTATTTGGACATTAGTTACTACACGAACGCTATTCACGAAGTGCTGCTTGCATTTCGAAGTTTTATCGCTTCCAATTTTTAATTACCCTCTCGATTTCATCGGGAGCCCCGCGGAAAATTTAACGAGCCGGAATTGGTTTTCGGACGAAGTTTCTACAAGAATTAAGCGACCGTATAAAAGAAATAACAAGGTGCCCAACGAAGTTTAGAACTTTGGACAACCGCTCGAAACTGAATTAATTACCGGCGAATTTATTCCGTTAATTATCTCCTTCGAGAAAGGTGCCCGTAATTAAGTCACACGTCCGAAATTTTTAAGCGCATTAAAATGAAACGGTTTTCTTCTTAGCGTCAGCGTAATGCCTGTCCCCTGTAAGACGATTAAAAATCCACTACATCATTAAATAAACTGCAGTATAAATTTTAAGATCACTCTTGCAGTACTAGATGAATTTAGTAACGAAAGGCTCATTTACTGGCATTCCGTGCATCACACTGCGGTCCTACACACATCAGAGACACACCGTGGAAGAGGGAAGATTAATTGGGTGTGAATTTGTTCCGACGGCTCGGGTGTAATTTTAAGCAGGACCATATTATTTCGTGGTGTATAACGCAGGTATTCGGTCGTTGGAAGCGGTTTTACCTTGCGTAGCTACACATTCGTTAAGCTCACCGAGAATGTGATACAAATTGGATTTGTTTGGTATTCACGGACGAGTGCTCTCGGGCGTTTCCATATTAATGAAGGTGGATTTTCTTCGTAAATGAACGAAATTCCGGATCAAACGGCGAGCGTCTGGCGAAGTTTATCGCGAATTCGTCAGATAAAGATTGCTCGAAGGTGCCGATGTGGCATTTTATCGTTTTATCGCATTAAAAAAAGGTGAAAGTGATTTAATTGCGTGTTAATTATGCAGTCGTTAATCCCAACATACCGAGATACGGGAATGCATGTATGGCAACTAGCTAATCGTAATTATACATGCACTAGTAGGAAAATAGTAGATAAGACTTAAGCACTTAAAAGCTCCATGCATTAAATATTGACAACAAAAAGTAAACTATAAATGCATCTATTAATGTCCGAGAATCGGAGCATCGTTATCGCATGCACTATTAAGAAGAGCGTCGATAAAAATGGATACAAAGTATAATTATTACTTTTCAATCATTTTTCCTCAATGACTCGTGAGTTTGTTATTGATCATTATCGCGTTAAAGTCAAAGATAATTATTTTTAATTCATTAATTAAGTTCACAAAATAGAAGACGGCAAGCATAGTTGTTACAAAATTATGATTAATAGGTAAATAATTAACACTGTAACTGGAATAAAGAGAGAAGACCATTAAATAACATAAACCACAACTGTGAATAATAGAAACTTTCATCTAGAATTAAGAACTTATAAGATTGAACAATATATTGTGACAAGGAGTTCCTAAAGGATATAATCCTACAGGTGCTGTGAGAAAGAATTTTGAAATTAACACAATATTGTGCAGCAATTTTCTTTAAATATACCTGCACATAATCATAACCCATTTGCGAAATTCAACGTACTCAACGCACCTTTGAACCGTGATTGTTGGACTAACTGCCGATCCACCTATTCTTCTGGCCGGCCGGGCTCCTAATAAGGAAAGCGGGAATGTTTTCCGCATTTCTCGTCGACTAAAATAAAACAGGAGAAGACAACAGACGACCAACGAACGCGTAGAGTTTGTTTGAACGGCCACCAGACTGCCGATAGATCAATGGTTTCGAGAAATCGCCGGCCATTAAGGTCGCTTATAAATCGGGTTGTTGTACAAAAATTGGAACGAATATTTCACCGAGCGATGCTAGCGGATTTTAAATGTCTTAGTTACGTTAGGATTTCCAGCTCATAAATGGAATGTAACCGTTTTTCTTTACTCTAAGACAACAGTAATTGAATTTCCAGGTGATTAGATAATAATTGCTGTTATCTACTCCATGGATATTTCTTGTTAATGAAGGCATTGCAATCCAGCAGGATTATGAACCTTGTAATAGTTGTTCACACAAACTAATCAGGCGAAGCTGTGTAATTCCAAATGGTGTCGTATAATGCACTCATTCACTGGAAACTATTGAATAGTTCAGCCGTGTTCGTGTTGTGCAAAGTTAGCGCCACTAAATCATAACATAATTAGAGCAAGTTGCTGTATCGTTGGTGGTAAAGTTGCTTGTGGAAACTTGCCCAAGTCGAATAACACCGCCCGTCTCTTCGTTGTTTCGGCTTCGCATAAAACAATTTATGGAAGTTTAAAACTTTTATCGAATTGACGAGTGTATAAATAAAACGATTCTTTCCACACGCCGAATGCGTCTTCATCGCCGGAGTTAAGAACGTACACAAATAAGCGAATCGAGACGAAGAAGAACCTTCGAAGGATCTTAATCTGTTCACATGGAATTCCTACACACATCGCGCTTTATGGGTGCGTGGCATCGACAATGGCTGGTAAATAAAAGGCCGTTTTCGCGCACAATTAAAGTCTAAAAGGCCTTTTGTGCGAGGTGCATCGTGACGACGGAGATTTCCACCCTTGTTGACTTCGTGAAGGTGATTGATGAGTTGTTGTATTTAAAGCCGCTTCAAGAATCCCACTCGAATCGAATTAAAAACCCTATTGCATAAAACTTATTTATAGGATTATAATATTTGTCAAATTTTACACTTTTTTTTAGTGGATGACTTAAAATCAATTTTTGCATTATGGCGTGCTTATTCCAAATATGCCGTAAAAAAATCACGTCTAGTTCATTTAATTGGTCTAACATTGCCGTAATTTCGGAGCGTTCTAAATAGTTCTGGACAGTTCTAATGTTTCTAACGGAGCTTTCCAAATGGTTCTGGAGTGTTCTGAATTATTCTAGACTGTTCTAAATGGTTCTAGACAATTCCAAATGTTTCTGGAGCGTTCTAAATGGTTCTAGACAGTTCTCATGACATGCTATGACATGCTGCGTTTTTTATTACAAATTTTTATTCATTAACCAAGAACACATCACTCCTTTTCCTAAGTTCTTTTTTTTTAATTCTCAGAATCTACAAAAATATTTCCAAATTATTACAAAATCGACTTGAATAACTCGTAAGTAGTCTATTTGAAAATAAATTCGTAGAATACATGCATAACAGTCAACCTACGCTTTCCAATGGAAGGCCATGGAGGATTAAAAAACCTTATCGGAAACGTCACGTAGAAGCGAATTCACGATCGTATAAAAGACATATTTTTCCGTCGAACTCGCTTCACATTTCATAAACATCAAACCATCGGAAAAGGTTCTTGATAGATCTTTCGTAATATATTCGAAAAAATTCCGAGTCTCGCTACCGGTGTTCATAAATCATGTGTTAACGATCGAAAATCGTGAATCACTCTCCTAATAGTCGTTGTCGAAGATACCACTTCCTATAGTTCTGAAGAATATTTTGACGTATCTATTACAAGAATTAAAATACTGGTGTATTCTTCTGGAGATGGAAAACTCAGCTCATAAATATTTTAGATTATGTCTAGATTAAAATTATAACTACTTTGTATCATAAAAAATCATTTTCCCTGTGTAAGGGTGAATTTTTTTCATAATCATCATAAGTATGTCTGGGCTCTTTTAAATTCAACTGGATTAAATCCATCCAAGTATGTATTTTCTGGTTTAACTGGTTTATAATCCCATTCCTATTTATGCATTCAATTAAATTAAAAAACCGTCTCTTTTACAACCATCATCAAAATTGGTAATTATATAAAAATATTTTAATTGAAGCATTTTAAGCACGCTTATTAAAACCCACTATATTTTCGAAAGCACGAGACTATTCACTGAGAGATCCGCATAAAGGTGTTATGAGATATATTGAGTCTTTAAACTCGACGGAATGCATTATGCTATAGTTATTCTAAAGAGCCAAGGTATATTATTTGCTTTGCATAAAGTCATTTAGGAAACGGTTTTATTGTGCATTTGCATATACCGCTACTCTCTATTTGTTCGTTGTTTTACCATTGAAAATTGGGCATGGACGGGAACAAAAGGACACTTGAAAATCCTAGACAGATTGTAAATAATTGCACTTCCGTGTGCAGAAGATTTTAAATAATTAGTGTGTTTGGACATTGCTGTTATGTTGCTACTAGTCTGCTAATTCTCAAAAGCTGTTAATTCTCAATCTTTCTATTGTGAAAGTTTAATAAATAATCATGAAATTTCAAAAAAATAGCAAAAACTAAAATTGAAAAATTTGAGATTTTTATTAAAAAATTGATGTAAATTTCATAAAAATAGCAAAATATAAGAAAGGGATTGAGACTAATAAAGAGAATCTCTCTCAATTTCTCTCTTTCTCGCAAGAAAAAGAATTCTCCAATTCTATTCTCAATTTGAATAGAAAAGAAAATTAAATGTAGATACCTAATAGTTCTATTACTTTAGTCCTTGTATCAATAAACATTTTTAAATACTCCTGTGTTCTAAAATAACGTGACCCTCGAACACCCTGTACATACAAATCGAAGGGAATATCCATTACTAACCGCTTGATATAATTGTTGTTAAAGACTCGAAGAGCAGGAGCATTTCTCAACGTCCGATTGTTCAACTATTCAATATATCAAAAGTTCTTCGAGGCTTTTTAAAAACAACGCACTCGATGCATTAAAAGCAGTTCGCGAGTTATTATTTATGGGTTCGTGGGGAGTTCGAGAAAACTCCGATCGGGATGAAGAATTTATAAATAAAAGCGACCAAATCACATTCAACATATTCATTCATTGTCTATTGAATTGTCTAATATGAAGCAAGAATTTGGGAAATAGTTCGAAAATAGTTCGAAAATAAAACAAACTATACAAGATAGGCAAGTTGCACTTTATTTTAAAATATGTTAATGATTGAAAGAATAAGTTATACTTTATATTGACTCATTTTTCTGTCATTATAAATGTACTGATAGGCTGGTTTAGTATCTTCAATTATCCAAATGGTCCCTGTAGGAGCTTTTTCTACTACTTTCATCACTTGGTCAGCTAGAAACTTCGGACTAAAAAAATATACAAAAATTTTTAATAAAGTTTCACCTCTGTTATCAATTAGAAATTAGAATAAAATTATCTACCTCTGCAAAGGATATCCGTCTAGAGTACGTTCAGCAGAATCATCTGGCCCAGGCCGGACAACACCTGCTAAATTCACTATAGAAGTTTCTGTAACACCAGGACAAATTGCCACAACCTTAATTTTTGTTGAATTGTAATAGTATGACTCTGCGTAAGTTCTTGTAATAGCATTAATAGCAGACTTGGTAGCGTTGTAAGTAGGTATAAGTAATTCCGGAGTGACCGAAGCGATGGAAGATGTATTCACTATTACGGCTTCTTCGCCTAATTTTTGATCTTTTAGGTACTTTTCAGTTGCTAATATCATACCGTTAATTACGCCTATCTGAAAAAGAATTAGTTATTAAAAATGTTCACAATTCAAACCAAATTTTTAAATTACCAAATTAACTTGAACGCATTTTTCCCACTCGTTTTCATTAACAATTCCAGCGTTATTGAAAAGAATGTCGATATGTTGGAATTGTTGAATTGCTGCTTTGAATGCATCTGCAAAAATAAATTATATTATTTCACCGGTTCTTATTAGGTCTTAAATCCTTAGGTCACATACCTTCAAAACTTTCTACTACAGTAACATCCGTTTTTTGATACAAAATTTGTGTTGGATTAAATTTTTGACTCAGCTCACTAACGACTTTCGTTCCCTGTTCCTCATTTATATCTGCTATTACAACACCCTAAAAACATAAAAATTTTCTCTGGGTATAAGACTAATTTAAATTTCGATTCAATTTTCTCTTCCTATTAGGCTTACCTTAATTCCATTTTCCAGTAAAGCCTCGACAATGCACCTACCAATACCTCCAGCACCGCCTGTGACTAAAGCGACCTTACCGTTTATCTGGAAGCTCATTTTGAATGGGAATAAAAGTGTAACTTCAAAGTTACTTATACTCGTATATATTTAGTATTTTGTAAAAGTCGATAGCTTATCTTATCCAATTAATTTATAGCACAATATATTTATAACAAAATAAAAACTATGAGTGCAATATGTAGAGGAAATGTAAGCAATGTAATACTGTCAATAAAATCAGAAAATATTAAAGATTAGTTATACTTTAGTACTAATTTTACAATTTTTTTACTGATGTGTTATTGATGATGTTGAATATGTAATACTGAACAACCCTGTATATTTATAAATTATCGTCTTAAATCTTGTTATCTAGGTACTATTTTAAACTATTTTTTATTGATTTTACCTCCAACTTCCTTGTACTAATTTACTTATCTTAATCCGTGTGCCCCTTCTTATCAATCATGCGTATAATTGAGGATTAAATATTTAATAATAATTAAAGCAAGAATTTTTAGTTTAGCAACAAAATTTCCTTATAAAATTAATTTAGTGTTAACTAATTTCAAGTCGAATAATTATAGTAGGTATGTTTTATATTTAAATTGTTTTTAACAAATCCTTTACCACATGGTAGGTACTAAAGAATTCGATAATTATATCGATGAAATTATAATTAATGGTATTCTAATTAAAACCTGTCTGAATAAATAATTAGTTAAATTACGCATTCATACAACTATTAATTAGGTATCTCCAAAAGTGTAAATTCTATATTTTTATAAAATTGTGAAATTAATGACATTCAAATAACCATCATTACTTTTACACGCTTTTACGAGCGTACAAACAAAAAACATAACTAATTTAACAATATTAATAAGTACATATTCTCCAGTTGGTGCAAGTTATTAACATTTTTTACGTAAAATTAAATGATAACAAACAATCGTGTCTAATTTAACAATTTTACAACATATTATTTTTAAAAGAATCTTTATCAGCATAAATGTACCGATATGCTGGCTTCTCTTCTTCAATTACCCAAACACTTCCAGTAGGAGCTTGCTGCACTAGAGGCATGGTTTCATTTGCTACAAAATCTGGGCTGAAAACAATTATTTCAACAAATTGCTAATTATAAAATAAAACTACCTACTTTTGTCCATCGAAATTTTCTTTCATATTATCAATTACCGATTTGTATTCAGGCCTAACGAAATCTTTCATATCCAATATAGGAGTTTCTGTTTTACCTGGACAAATTGCTATTACTTTGGTCCTTGATAAATTGTAATTGTAAGTATGACCGTAACATTCCGTAAGTTTAATAATTGCTGCCTTGGTTGCAGAATAAATGGGCATTGCAGGAATATTTATTAAACCCGCTATTGAGCAAGTGTTTACAATAACTGCTTCATCGCCGATTTTATAATTTCGCAGATACTTTTCTGTAGCCAGAAGAGTACCATTTATGGCCCCTTTCTAGAAGCAATCGACATTTGTTACTTCATAGTAATTTCAAAAAATTTATTGAAGGTTCAAAGAGCTACTCACTATATTAGCATTTACGCATTTCTCCCAATTATTTTCTTCCAAAACACCAGCATTGTTAAAGAGAATATCAATGTGTTTGAATTTCTTTACTGCTACTTCAAATGCTCCTGTAAATAATATAATGCAAATTTTTGATTTAAAATTTTAATTGTAAATACACGTACTTTCAAAATCTTCTTGTTTGCCAACATCAGTTTTCTGGAAAACAATTTTAGACGATCCAAATTTACTGTTAAGTTCGTTTGTAACCATCCTACCTAGTTCTTCGTTAACATCGGCAATGACAACACCCTTAAAATAACATTTCGATAACCAACAACACTAAAGATTTAAAAGGGCATACCTTAATTCCATATTGAATTAAAGCCTTTACAATGCTGTAACCAATACCACTGGCTCCTCCAGTAACTAGTGCGACTTTATCTTTGATTTCGAAAGTCATTATACAGGTACAGTTTCTGATGAAATAGGTATTAAAACTGATTCGTTATGTTTGTCTATGATTGCATATAAATGAACAAAACTTGTTTAAAAGTTATTTTTGCAATAAATCTTAATTCATAAATATTTACAATGTTAAAACTAGCGTTAATTAATGATGTTTATGAATACCTTGAAATTTATGTTGTGTAAAAAATTATAACAAAAACGATTTTCTACACCTAAGAGAATTTGATGCAATTTCCTTGAATCACAACCAACATCCAGTTCACACTAATAAGTTATATTTTGAAGTTTGAATATTTTTCAATAATAATATCCAACTCCGGAATAAGATCCACTCCCCTCTAGTTTTAAAGGAAACCGATAATTATAGTGTTGTAATTGTTATTCAAGGTATTCTAACTAAAATGTTAATTATGTATTTATTAATTAGTCGATAATTATTTATTTGAAGAGTAGGTATTAGGAATCCGTATTAGCAAAATATTTAAACTTACGCGTTATTTTTGGTTATAGTAACGCACAAATACAGATAAATCGTTGTTTAATAAACATGTTTTTGTCTGCAGTTAATTAATTAAAGATTATATTCAGGCCCATCTACTTGCTGGAATTGAAGTAGGTACCTCGTAAAAGTCAATTCAAATATTTTTCATTTAAATTTGTATAATGTTGATAATATTGAAAAAAATACATTTTTGATTGAAGTAACATGTTTGTAGCCTTTAAAATGTTCGTCTAAATACGCAGTTCTTTTTGTAAAATTTTCCAATTGGTGCAAATTATTATAACATTGAAATTTTTTACACAAGATTTAATGATATTTAACAATCGTAATAATAAAATCAACAAAAAGCTCATTAAATATATGTTTATAATATCTGCATCCAATTATTCCTACAAAAACAAAGATATACCTAGAACAATTTTAATAGTTACAAATTCTACAGAGTGTTCTTTTTAAAAGAATCTTTATCTGCAGAAATGTATCGATACGCTGGTTTAGCTTCTTCGATTATCCAAATGCTTCCAGTAGGAGCTTGCTGCACTAAAGACATGGCTTCATTTGCTAGAAAATCCGGGCTGAAAGTAATTAATTTTTAATATAATTACACGAATTGGTAAATAGAAAATAAAACTACCTTTGACCATCAAAACATTCGACTGTACTTTCGCCTAAGGATTGCTGGTCAGGTCTAACTAAATTCCCGATATCCAGCATAGGCGTTTCTGTTTTACCCGGACAAATTGCTATAACTTTAGTCTTGGATAAGTTGTAGTAGTGAGCTTGACCAAAACATTCGGTGAGTTTAATGATGGCTGCCTTTGAGGCACAATAAATAGGCATGCCAGGAAGAGCCATTAAACCGGCTACTGAACAGGTGTTTATGATAACTGCTTCATTGCCGATTTTATGATTTTTGAAGTACTTTTCGACAGCCAAAAGACTACCATTTATCACACCTTTCTAGAAGTAATTAAAATGAATAAGTTCACAAAAATTCTCTATTTAAAGTGAATACTTACTAAGTTAGTATTAAGGCATTTTTCCCAATTGATTTCGTTGAAAACTCCAGCATTGTTAAAAAGGATATCAATGTGTTTGAAATTCTTTATTGCTGATTCAAATACTCCTGCAAACATTTTTAAAATAATTATAAAAACCTTTTCAATAATAATTTTTACTTACTTTCGAAATCTTCCTTCTTGCTAACATCGGTTTTATGGAAAACAATTTTGGTCGAACCACATTTATTATTAAGTTCCTTAGTAACTTTTCTACCGAGTTCCTCGTTAATATCGGCAATTACAACACCCTTAAATTTTCATTTCTATAAGTAGGTAGTTAATAAATATATGGCATTTAAAATAGCTAACCTTAATTCCACGTTCAATTAAAGCTTCTACAATACAATGTCCAATACCACTAGCTCCTCCAGTTACTATAGCAACTTTATCTTGAATTTCGAATTTCATGATCAAATAAATGTAGTAGGTATATCAATTAAACAAATATTCAAATTGCACGTCTTGTTTATTCGGTTATCTATACTAAGTTCTGTATGCAATAATGTCTATAATAAGAACATATGCTTATCAGGAAAAAACAAATAATTAGTTGTAATGGTGACAAAGTTCAAATTTGTAATGTAAAAAGTATTCATTATGTACTTAGTAGGTACGTTTGATATTTAAATATAGTTTAAGTAATTTAAAGATTATTTATCGTTAATTAACGTTAATAAAAATTACAGGTGAGTACTTACAATAAGCTTTCTTTTTAAAAAAATATTTTTATTCTAAAAATTCCAAAATCGTCCTTTTATGCATGAAAGAAATTAAAAATACCTTTTACACTTCAGAATTCAATAAATACTTTTTATATTCCCCAACGTCTTATTGTAGTCCAGATTCTCATTAAAATTCTGAACTTGACAATAATGCATGTGCCCGCGCTCCACGATCTTGGATTCATCCATAAATTTTCCAGGAGACAGGACTTGCAGGAATTTCATTATAAAACAGGCACTTTTATTGTTTACAAACCGTCCAGCGGATGGATAATTAATAATTACTTAAGAAAGACAAATCATCCATGACCTATTTCATAACTACACGAATTTTTCATTTAATATAATGTTTACAATTTATTCTATTTTTTAAATGCTCCGTTTTTAGAGATTATTAATTAGAGATGAAATTGGAAATTAAAAGAGGAGCATGATTAAACACTGTTAATCAAAACTAACAAGAACTTGCGAATTTTAGGAATTTGTTTTCATTGGTACAAAGCCGATCCATCCATTTAGCTCTTTTATGAAATTACCGGGCAGCTTTTAACGGAATTGCCGGCGATGCATCAGCGCTATAATAAATTTTCCTATAATTAGAGCATCCAAAGCGACGATTCCGTTTGATTAACTAGCACAAATTAATTAAAGTCCTTAAAGAAACGGTCTCGTTATCTCAATTTCTGTGAATATCCTTTTCATGACCTTAATAACTTCTCTGTTGATCGAAAATGCGATGGTCTCGTCATCTTGATTACCGGGATATCCACTTCTGCCGCCTTGGTTTTGGTCATTTTGTTCATTAATAAGGGCTTTATCTCAATAGGTTTCATTATTTTCTATTGAACATATCGATATTTTCATTATATGATGATGAATAACTGAAGATGTTAACGACACAAACGGTTAAAATATTCATTGAATTTGCAAAAAAGTAGTCATTAAATAAAAATAAAATAAGTTTGATGATTCCTTTTTTAATGAAACATTCTAAAAACTGTGAATTTATTCAAATTATGATTTCTTACGTGTCTCATCTCTACGACTTCAAAAATTACGCTTCTTATACTATTAAATAATGATTATCACGGTACATAAACGAAGGAATTACTTAATTAACATCTTTATTACACATCGCCGCCCATTCCTCTACAAGCACTTATTTATTGTCTACAATTTATGACGAATATCTTTTGTGAAAAAAAATTAAATAACGAAACCCGCTGGGCAATTTCTCACATAAGTCAAAGCTAATAACCATCATTTGGCTGTGAAATTAAGCCCTAAAACGTTTTTTGTCTAACGGAATTAGTATTTTAAAGGATTCCGGGCAGTGGTGGAGTCTAAGTAACTTACTTATTTAATATTTAGTTGATAAATTCTTGTTCTAGTTCGAGGGATTTATTTTTAATGTGTTAACCTAAGCTCTTGAAGTAGAAGCAAGCTCGGATTTGGAGTAAAAGCTGCATTTTCTTTTCTCTCAGCTTTGTTTTGTTGTTACTCCGCCTTTGTTATAATGTTAAAAAGGCAGAGGCTGAAATGAGCGATAATTTATTAGTGGTCTTTATGTACCAATTTTTTATTTTTATACAGGAATTTGCTTTAATTTTGACAAAATATGAGACAGGGAATTTACCTGTATATCCTATATTAAATTTTGAACGTTCACTATATTGATTTTTCGTAAATATAAGTACACAATCAGGTAGAATAGATTTTAAATGAGGCCCAAAATGTATTTGAATTATTATCCAAACATCAATATATTTAACTAGAATTGAAGTGAAGATTTTGTAAAAATCTCGAAGTTATTTGAACACTACGGAAGCGTTTTAGCCTAACAATAAACCATCATTAGTTTCCACTAACTTGACCGTAGAAAAAGGAAGAAAAAAAAAACAAAAAGCGTCTTGCGGAGAACACAACGAAGACTTCAAAATTCACTGACCGTATTTCCAAGAAGCCCAACGTTGTTCAGCCCTTCATGAGGATTTAATAGCCCTTCGAAAATGTTTAGAGTGCGAGGTATAAGCACAAACGTTTAATAAAAAAAACATTATAAACAAGAAACAATGTTGCATATCTCGGAAAAATCTATTACCAAAACAATGCTTTAAAGTGCTTTTATAACTTTTATATTTTTACCCATGTATTCGATGAAATATTCGTATTTATCCTAAAATGTATCCTAAATGTAATATAATACCCCAAGGACTATTGCACCATCATTCTTCAAGATTTAAAAGAGCTTAACAGGAGATGGAATTTTTCGTATAGGTTTCGATTTAATTTATTATTGCTAGTAAAATTTCGTAGGTAAAGGAGAGGCCTAAATATTTTGTAAATTACCTTTTATCTGATTAAATAATTTTTTTCGTGTTTTACCTTTTCTACCTGGAGATAATCATCTCGTAGGAAATTTAAAACTCGATGAAAATTAACAATTATCGGGTAAAAGTATTCCAATAGGAATTATTAATTTCTATACAATTTATTCTAGCTTTGCATGATTTTATTCACCTAAATATTTTTCCCTCATGCCAAGATTCTTCTGTTACACCAATATGAAGACAATGAGTATCGGGTATTTCTATTTTCTCTAAAACTGAGAACTTAAATGTGTCCTATTCCCATGTTCTCTGCTGTAATCTGCGTCTGTCTAGCGACAATGCTGTGCAATTAGAGAAAAACAATAAAAGAACGAGCAGTTACAACGCCAGCGTCTGTTCCGCCATATTTGATGCCTAGTGATATTGGATAAGAGCCGTTCCCTTTGGCGACGTTCCAATGTGTCCCGTTTTCCATTGGATCTGCTCGTCCGCGTTGTTGTTTTTTATCAAACAAAGCGACGTTAGTTTTTTCACTAAAAAATAATCGAAGTGAAAATAGTGAACACAAATTCATTATGTAGCTCTCCGCGCTTTCTTGGAGGATAATGTGGAGGAAAGATAGGACTTTGGGGAGAATTGCGAGTCGACACGTGCACGTTGAGTGTACGGAAATGGACTTATAAAAAAGTTGGGAAGTAAAGTGAAACAAATTTGCAGTGGGAAACAAATAAACTATTTAGCGTGTTCCAAAGTTTACCGTAAATTTGGAGAGGATAAATGTGGGATAACTTTTACAGGTGATGTTTAGAATTCGAATGTATAAAAATCGAATACTATCACAATTTGAATTTTTGTGTGAGAAGACTTCTTATATGAGATCATGTATCATTATAAATCATTATAATTAGTAATTAGTAAAAATACATAATAATTAAAAAATTAGGCAAATTGGTGAAAATTATATAAAAGTAGAGAAAAAGAGAGTGAATGAGAGTGAAAATTTTGAAATTTTCATAAAAAATAAGCAAAGGGGTATTTTCTATGGCAAATTTCAATGAATTGCGAAAAATGAGAGTGAAAATACAAACTGTTTCTGTACATAGTTTCAGAATATTAAAAAAATATCTATGAAATTTTTTAAATATATTCCTAATAATTAGTCATCTTGGGTCCTTAAAATTCGGTATTCATTATACCTACCTGGTGGCAAGTACGTGAGAGAAGCCGAGGAAGTGGGAAAGCGTTTCAGTATAATGACATTATCACTTTTGACTACCAAATACGTGACAATCGCGGTTTTTGCGATTTCTGCTGGTTAGGTGGGTCTCAAAACAAAAATCTTGTTGGGCGTGAGCCAATCGTTCCTTGACAGGACATCGTCGTTTCGCCGATTTCGTTGAATTATTCAACAGCCCAAATTTCGGACTCGAATTGCAGGTTTAACACAGGTGGGCCACAGAAAGAACTCGTGTATTTTACCGCCTTTAGCATTCATATATTTTATTTTTTAGTGAATACTCTGTAAATTTCAATTTACTAGTATTTTATCCAACAAGGGTAGTTGCATGAAATTAGTCGATTGGTAAAAAAATTAATAAAACTTCAGTATTCCGCTGCCGCGTTCACTGAAATCCCGGAGAACGGAATGCACACCGATAAATCCCAATTTTGCTCCCGTTTTTTAAATTTATTAGCCGGAACGACGTGCCCGCTAAAAGTTTGAGCAAAAAGAACGGGAACTAACCAGAATGAATTGTTTTCCGCCAAAAATATGGTCGAAGTTTAGTGAGAGTGTGTATTTTCCTCTTTATACGACACGAAAATGTCCAATAAAACTACAGTAATGCGAGTTGTATTACTAGAACAAATAATTTCCCGGCCTTTATAAAACAGTCATTATTCACAATTACTAAACGATCATCTATAATGATTAAAACTTATTCAAAGCAAAGCCATTGATAATAATTTATTCAATTGATTATGGCCGGTTTCAATCGACGACTATTTTATTTAAACGAATTAATCACACACATGTGTGGTTCGAATTAAAACCGATCGAATTATATTTTATTATGATTGACACAAACTCTGCAGTCAAATTGATTAACGCCCAAAAAGTAGAAGGTAGAAACTATACCATTTATTTACCAATAAATTGATCGCATTTCCTTAATCAAATTGTCTCTGATTTTCTTAAAAATTAATAATGATTTTAATCTCAATTTAGGCAAATCTATGTACTCTTATATTCATGTACCTGATATGATTTTATGATTATCAAGGAATTTTTGAATAATTTCGGAAAAATTTTTGATGCTAATAATAATTTGTAGGGAGCTTTAAGTCATTTAACGGTTAATCAAAAGTGCCTACTTTGGTTTATTGTATGCTCTTAAAATTGTCAACGCACACGGATCTCTCATAGGTATTGAACACATTT